TACACCTTTAACAACCTTTTTCGAATTTCTAAATTAACCGTTCGCGAACATAGAAGTGACTTCTTTTTATTAAAGGCTACACGACCCTGCGCTATCCTCTGCTTTATATCCCTACTACTCCTTCTGTCCTGACTTATCTGACTTCCTAGATACCTAAAATCTGCCACTTCTTCTAATTTTTCGTCTCCTATCTTTATATTCGCTATTTCCCTACTTTTTCTTCCCTTGCATACCAGTATTATATACAATATTGTTTTGTCAATACCGCTTCCACTTTATTTAAAGCTATCCCTAACTCCTCCTCGCGAGGTGCTAATACTGCTATAGATGAAAACTATAATAACAATTAAGAAGTAATAATTGTTGGCCCAATAACTCGAAGAAAAAAGGAAAATTAAAAATACTTACAAAATTTTAAAAATGATCCCTAAAATAAACGAATAAACATTATAAAAGAATTAAATACGTTTTCACAAACGCCTGCATAGTTTAGAAGTTTAGCTATTACGTGTAATAGTTGTTCATACATACCTACATCGTTTAATTAATGTAAATAAATGTAAATCATTGTTTATTAAATTCAAGAAAACTGGATTAAAACTATAATAAGCAAGTTTAAGGTTAGTAGATGATAATAACAGATTGGGGTTCACTTTATTGTATTGAAATGAGCTTGTAGAAAATGCTTGTCCTTTTTCTGAAAGATATTTCTATTACCTACTGTATTTAAAGTAAAATAAACATATTGTAGTAAAAAATATACACAGCAGTTTTACTGAACGATCTATTTCTTTGACACACGATTAAAATTGTATTTTTCTGCGATTGTTTATTTTATTTTCTATTGTCTTAATATTTTTCCTTTCGTTGAACAAACGACAAAAATGCTTACGAAATAACTCGTCATCCACAAAGTTTTCACTTTTCATGTAATAGCATAACATCTGGAGCTTTATTTTCTTGATTTCTAATTCATCCTCCTAACTTGACCGCATATATATTTTTTTTTCATTGTTCAACCCCATAATTGTCTCATATATACATAATAATCTCTTTTGATATTGAACATCAACGATAAGAACGCGAAGTAATCAAGTTGCCTTAGTCGAAATACTGTAAACTGGATGCATGTAGGTAAATACTTAATAAGAACATTGAAGAACCGAAGTCTTAGCCGTCGGTCAGGGTACTACAAATCCGAAGGATAATCTACTCCAATTCATATTCAGGACAATAAAATTTGATTAAATTGTTTGCCAAAAGTGAAAATAATTTTTTTAGTTCTATATCGACAAGGTGCTTGAATAGACGTTCCTACAACATATTAATAAATACTTTTGAGAATATTTTAGTAATTATTATTTAATTTTAGATAAAATTGTAGGTACATATGTAATACCGAAGAATTTATGTTTATTTCAATTTTTTCGAACAAAATGCGCGAATTTTTTATTTTTTTAATCCTTTTTCTTTTTAGAAAATAGGGAACATATTAAGTACCTAGGTACATAAGTTTTTAATCTTTTAAAAATCGGCAATTAATATGACTACATACTGGAAGTATAGTATAATTTGTATCTACCTATATTCAATTCATTTTTAGATTACCCAGAATCACTCGTAAATAGTGTAATGAATGATTGAATATCATTTACTTAAAATACATATATTATTAAATGAATTTTAAAAAGTTTTCTTTTCTTTGCTTTTTTAAAACATCAATTTCTCAAAGATCGCTGCATTAATGTTGGGATTCCCAACGAGTACCTAGTGCTTCAAAAGTCTTTAAAAAGTTTTAGAGGAAATTTAAAAGACATTACATTGATGAAGCGAGAGCATTAAGAAAGTTCCTAGGTTCTAAGGTTTCTACCCCTGTCTCATCATATGATTCTGCTACCTTTACGGCATACATATCCAGGAAGGATATTGAACAACATGAAAAACTTACTATATTTCACTGTAGGCCCTTAACGAAGGTAGTTTAACAGTTCCAACTAAATATGATCACTTTGTAACATGTTTCATGAGATCCAATTAAAAAACACACTTTTGCTTTACGTTTCTCATCCAACTAACGTACGTTTACACTAAAGTCAACATGGTCATGAAAACAAATGAACTGCTAATAACTTTTTGTCGGTCCATTATTGAGAAAACACTAACTTGGTTATCTCGCGAACAAACAAAAAATCCCCCAGAGCCCGAAATTCTGTTTTAAGAGCAGTCTTATTACAAATCCATTTTACGTATTAACAATGCACACAAATTATTATTAACTATTATTATTATTCTTGTTACTAATCAATTAAGCGGCAGGTAGATACTGCTAGATCGCGCTTACTCGACGAAAACAAACAACAAACAATATCCACCTGCTAGAACACAAAAAGTGATCGTGGTGGGCGCAAAAAAGGGGCCACGAAACTTTGGGACGACCATATGCTTCCCCAACTCAAAAAAAAGTCGCATATATCTTTCGGCGCAAAAAGTTTGTACGCGCGATCCGCGTAAAAAACCCGGCGTTTTTGTTTCGCGCGCTTTTTTTTCAGCAGGAACCTGCACAACGTCCTGCTAACAACACTACACCCGATCTTATACTACATCTCGGTCACTCTTGCACGTTTCCACGAACGATCGGCCACGTCCGTGCCCGTTCGGTTACGTAACCACACCCCCTCGTTCGCGACAAAGCCAGCAGGAGAAGGCGAAGCGAGACCGAGGGGTGAATTGCGTGGGTGCGACGGAGACGCAATGACTCATAGCCGTGCGTGGTCCTTCGAGCCGGATCGCGAGATCGCAGAGCACGCTAGATCGATGGTCGTGGAAAAATAAATGCCTCCGCGATCGACAGCAAGCACAACAACGACAACGACTAATTTCGGTTTGCGTAATTAAATTACGCTTTTTGTCTATGGAGACATTAAATTGTCAGTGGAGCGCGTGTTGAGCCACCGTCAGGTTTTTGTGTGCAAAAAAACGTGACGGTTAAATCGCGATTTGTAAAGTGTAAATAATGCGATGTACTTTTAATTAGCTTCCCATTGTTTTTAACATTCGCCACGCTCATCAGGCAGGAACAAACCTTAAAAGCCACTTGTTATTCGTAGCCCTTTGTGGGGCCATTTACGAAGCCCTTCAAAATTTCAATAAGTACCAAACATGAGAACAGACCTGTCGTACTAAAACTTAAAAAATAATTTCTTCTACAACAACCCCATCAGGGGTAGGTGAAACCCGAAACTAATACTGAGGAAGTTCGAAACAGTTAGCTACTATCCTACCTATAACGATTTAATTTAATTTATTGTATTATATGTCAATAGAATTAAATAAATTAGAGTAGAACTGAGTAAAAATCATTTACTTTTAAAGAAGCATTGCTTTACAGTTTTACTGTCGTGTATAATCGAAGAAACCGACCATGATTCACAAGTAGGTACCATACAGCAATTTCAGATGATGCAAATGATGAAAAATCCTACATCATTTAATTTGGATGAAATTCACTTTTACTATAAAGAGAACCTATTATTGTATCTACCTACTACAATTACGTCAGATTAGCAGTAGGTACATTCTCCGATTTGTCCTTTTTTTGTATCTAATAATTTTTATAATTGATTTTATACCTGTTTGTTTGAAAAATGTTGCATAACAACGATTAAAATGCATAAAATTAACAGACTAGAGCTTTACGTGCTAGTCATGGTGGATTATTGCAGGAGTTATTGGTTTTGTACCTTCAACTTTTTTCATTTTCTTTTTTCACTAGACAATATATAGTTAGGTATCTACTTAAACCATAAAAATCTATCTATTTTATGGGCGATATAGTATCTCAAATTCATTTGTTTGATACATTCGAATACTTATTTTTAAAGATACAAGTATATAGCAGAAAGAAATGGCAGCAATGAGATTTTCATGACAAATCCTAAATAAATTCTCATAGTAATTATTAATTTACGTTTAAGTAGGTATATGCAATATAATTCTGCATTTTTTAAAATAATTACTTTGGGGGTTTGTATTTTTGTAAAATATACGTTTGATATTGAATATGGTTACCGTCGAAGGGTTAAAATTGTGTCAGTGAACCGCGTTTTTCGATCTTAGCAGGATAACGTAATAGAAGGTCCCGACCTGTCCTAATCGCGCAGTTCGAATGGCATCCAAGAGACACAAAAAGGCACTAGGCTAAAATATGTCCGTTTTTACGACCACGACGGTGGCGAAAGAGGGTGAGTTTTTCACTTGGACTTTTTCGTCGTACCACCACCACCACCGCACTTGCAGGCAAGAAACCAAAATAGAACGTTTTTGTTGGGCCGCCTGGCTCCTCTCTTTATCTTCTACTATTTCTTGTTCTTCTATCTATCTAATACCTACCGATGGTGGTGCTTTTGCGACCCCTTTTTGACCCCGTTCTGCCTCGCCAACCCCCCTCCGGTAACCCCCTCGTTCTCCCATTACGATCGCTTCTTGTAAACGAACTTGTCGTCATTCGGCGATGGTTTTATAGCCGCCACGGTGCGTGGCTTAGGTCAGGTTTCAGACAAGGGCGGAACACTTTTTACAACACGTTTCTTATAGGATACTTGTGGAAACCCCCGATGAATGCCATCGACCCCTCTACATATACCCACTTAACCATTTATGGATAGATATAAATCACCATAGAAGTGAGTAATCAATCATTTAGGTATTATCATTATTATTACTTTTTTAAAGGATAATTTTTACGGTCCGAACCAAAGGTGGACAAAAGCCCCACAACCGTAACTGATTTGCAACAATCCGACTCTTTAGCAACCAAAAGATGTCATTTTTTCAAAAAAAAAAAAAATGTTTGAAAGAATCCTTGTTCCTATTTTTATAGAAGAATTTCAACCCCCTATGACACGGAATTCAATTTTTTATCAGTACCAAACGTTAGGGTCAAGGTTCTGGTATAAATGCAAAACATTTGATCATCACAATTGATATAAAATGTGAACTACAACATAATACTTAATATAATAATCATTATTCCTTGTCAAATTAATCAATCAGTTCGAAATGTAAAGTTTTCAAGAATTTTGCTGGATTTTACGATTTGTTCTTTTAACAATGCAATTTTCTAGACATTATATATTATCTGCATTATATCTAAAGTAGTTAGTTCTAGTTAACAATGCAATATTGCTGAAACTGAAGTTAGTACTTACAAAAGACGCTGTAATAATAAAACGAATTTTCTTCACTTCGTTAGGTAGATACTGCTAATCCTACACTACTTAACTAGGCGCCCATATGCTACTAACTATAGCAGATGGTACAAAAACAGTACCGTTGATGGGACTAGTAGGTACCGACAAAATGGTTGATCTACAACCATAGCGGAAGCAAGCAGCGCCATCATCTTGTTAGGTACAACTACTGTAATAAATATTAGATACGCCATCTTAAAGGAGACCGCGAAAATTGAAGAAAATTGAGCAAGTGGGCATAAAATAAGACAATAAAATAGTTATAAAGGCTTTTACATAGGACATAGATACAATACAGGCCCGTACTTGGGCGAATTGTTTGAGCTGAGTTACGCAATTCTGAATTTCAATATGGCGCTTCGTGCGTGGCATTTTTTTCAACATGGCGGCCTAGCAGGTAAGGCAGACATCAGGCCCGCCGGCAGGCGCATATTTAAACGAGGTACCAACCATGAACGGTAAAATATTGCCAAATTAATATGCACCCTTCCTGCGACCATGTTCCTGATACCCCCTTGCAATAATAAATTCGCGAGTAAAACCGACATCACAGGCACTTAAGGTAAATATTTCGTCTTTCATTGTGTCAGGTTGGTAGGTGTAATATATTATTATTATTATATTGCATCGCGATCAAGTCGGCGGCGGCGGACTGGAGGCGGCACGTAGACTTTTTCGAGGTAGACGCTGAACGTGAACGACGACCAATGGCGTGACGCGACGCCAGGTTGCCTTGGTGCCATTGGTTACGCCAGGACGCCCGTTTCAGTAACAGTGACAGAACAGTAGCGGAGATTATTGGGATCGAAATATTCATCCAATATTTTACAGGATCAGGTAAAAACGAAGCGAAGTTTACTTAAATTTGAAAAACTTTACTAAAAATGACCTCAAAAAGTTATATATCTCAAAAATGGTCCTAACATAAACAATCCACTGTGTATCTATCTATTTGTGTGATGGCTAAATTTTGACTTTTCGGTGTTGCGCATTCCCACTAATTACTAATACTGGTGGGCAACCAGTCCTTCTGGAATATGCAGGTAGGTGTATGGGCGGAAGGTCTACTTGGTCCAACCGGGTGATTGGGACGAAAAGCCGAAGCATTTGCCACACAGAAAAACTTGGACCAGAACAGACCGCACCCGGAATCGAACCGCTTTCCTTTCTGATGGTAAACAACGGCCTAAACCTCTGGGCCACGCCGGTCTGTACTTAATTCTGCTTAATTCGTCACATAAATAACACCTTAGGAGGTTTGAAACCTCAGATGGGTACATTAGTTACCTTCGAAATAATATAGGTTCATTCAGCCTTTGAAAAATAACCTGACATCCTATGACATTGTTAGTTGCCTAATAGTGGATTAATATGCAATATTAATTTGAAATCATTTTTTCGATTTTTTATTTACCCACTACAAACTACCTCAAATTAATAAGGGAAAAATTGTTGCTGTTGCCACACCCCCGCCGGGAATCGAACCCGGGACTTTTGGCTTTACGCACCAATGTTCCGACCACTAAACTACGAGAGGTGAGATCAGAACATCGGTGCGTAATGCCAAAGGTCCCGGGTTCGATTCCCGGCGGGGGTTTGACAACAGCAACAATTTTTCCCTCATTAATTTGAGGTAGTTTGTAGTGGGTAAATAAAAAATCGAAAAAATGATTTCAAATTAATATTATCTATTGACATTTTCGATAAGTCTTTAACTTACGATCCACGCTGATTACAATTTTTTTGTGGGAAGAATTCAGTAAATAAATAATAAATTCTGTAAGACGTTGACCTATCTGTACCTACCTACGCAATGGGCTAAGGTAAATTAATTTCTATCAGGAAATTGTTTAACTATCACCTAAATTAAGCTGCACTTTCTTGTGTTTGTAGTAGGTATAACACCCACTTCACGCTTCACCTGTACCATAACCATCCCATTTAACGGAAGGTATTGTGAGTTAAATGAAGTGTGAGTAGGTATCTCTCTTTACTGGTACACTCACTCTATTACCAACCGATAATAATATAATTACATGACGATGTAATAAAACAGGAGAATCACATCATGGCGTTTTTAGACAAAATAATAAGTTAGATGAAAAAGGAAAGGAAAAAAGTCGAAGAAAACGAGACACAATATGCAAAGTAGACTCAAGTAACTAGATGTTCTTATTATGTCAGATTGAGGAAGTGAAAGCCCCGATGACGGAGCACTCAAAGAAACGACAAAAAATCGAGACTCAAAAAAACTCTGTAATTATCTGCTACATCACGACAAATAGGTTGATAAACAACAACTGCATAATCTAGGCATTTCT